GGGGGGTGTGGGTGTAGGAGGGGCTGTTGGGGGGGAGAGAAATGGGGGGGGGAGGGAAGTGGGGCAGATGGGGGAACGGACGACTGAAGGGGAACAGACCTAAAAAAAAATCTCCTACCTATGCAGTCAGAGCACTTCTTGGGGGCAAACTCAGTCCCTGGAGATAAGAGCGTTTAGAGCAATGTTTCTCAACTTTGGCAACTTTAAGATGGGTGGACTTCAACTCCCAAAATTCCCCAGCCAGCCATGCTGGCTGGGGAATTCTGGGAGTTGAAGTCCACCCATCTTAAAGTGACCAAGGTTGGGAAACACTGGTTTAGAGCTAGATCTGAAATACGGTACACTGCAGAAAATCCACAGCGAGCTTTTTCACACAAGTTCTTCCCTTGTTTTCCAAGAGTTTGGTGCTTTGGTGATCCAGCTAATCCTGTGATCTGTTAAGCAGCTGTCTTTTTGCCATGCTGCAGAAAGCACAGCCCGGCAGAGAGCACCTCTTGGAGCTAATGTAGGGTAGTGACTTTTGAATCCTATGTACGTCCTCCTTTTCCTTCAAGGAGGTAACGTCCATGGTTCCACCATCCAATTCCCACAAGAAAACTGTTGAGGTAGGCCAGGCTGAGAGAACGCTGTTCCGTAATCGCTTGGCTACCTGAATCTTGGTCTTCCCATCCTAGAGCAATTCTCTCCCCACAGGCTCAAATTAAGCCATAGAGATCTTGTCATGAATGAAGCACCATCTCCAACCTCGCATCTGCTGGATGGCGGATAGTAAAAACGTGCGAGAAGAATTACTAAAGTTCAACCATTCTGTGGTTGGACTTTCTTTTAGCACAACAGGGGAACCCCGGCACTGTGGCTCAGAAGCCAGAGCTTGTCCATATGGGTCTAGCCAGCATCTGCACTTTTCATTTAGAAAGCAGGATCCAAGATTGCTGTGTTTTGTCAAACAGCTTGTGCCTTTATCTTCACTCGGTCCCTTCTCATCATTGCAGATTCCCACCAACGGAGGTTGGGGGCGCTGGGGCCCCTGGGGAGACTGTTCCCGCAGTTGTGGGGGCGGCATTCAGTACTCGACCCGGGAATGCAACAAGCCGGTGCCCCGAAACGGTGGCAAATACTGCGAAGGGAAGCGGACCCAATTCCGCTCTTGCAACGTCCAGGACTGCCCTGACGGAAACGGTGGGTTCATTTTCTTTGCTCTTCCAGTTAGTCGAACTGCTTTCCTGTTTCACGTGCAGCCGAGCCACTTTGTCTTGTATTACCACCCTAAACGGATCTCAGAAAGGTCTCTTGTCCACCTTCTCGTTCGCTGAGGGGTGGAACAGAGGTTTGTTCATCCATGCGAACAATTGGAGGACGCAAGCCAGCGAAAACAGTTTTGAAGCACAAAGGGGAGTGGAGACAAAGGGAGAAGGGAAGGGCGGGCTCCGTCTTCCAATTTATGACCGGCCAAGGAACGAGCTGAATGCAAGCGCAGAGCCAAGGAGATGCTCTGGCAGCATCTGGCCAGCTGCTCAATCCAGGCTGGGAGAAATTTAAGAGTAAGATTTCGGTAGGAAATAGACTTGCCTCGCTAGAGGGAAAGAATAGGAGTTCTGTTCCACAGTTGCTAATCTATGATGAGCACGGTGTATCCCCACGTACCTTTACAGAGGAGGGCACAATTTCTTCCCATGTTTCCCTTCCAAAAAATTATTCAAATACGGGATTTTGTTCTTCCAGCTCTGACCTTCCGGGAGCAACAGTGTGCCGTGTACAACCACCGAACAGACATGTTCAAAGACTACCCCTCGCCCATGGACTGGGTGCCTCGTTACAGCGGTGTGGCCAAGCGTGATCAATGCAAGCTGACTTGCCAGTCCCATGCTTTAGGCTACTATTACGTGCTGGAACCAAGGGTAAGTTTTGACACAGGGCCTCCGGTCCTGACTGGAAGGGAACATTTTGGTGACCCCCCCCCAAAGGTCTGGCACTCCGGCTCTCACAATCAGCTGGCTGCCGCTCGAGTCCACAACATCTGGAGGGCAAGAGTTCGAGCGAAGGGGACTAAAACGGGACTTCTTCATTCCAGGTGGCCGATGGGACACCTTGCTCGCCAGAAACTACCTCAGTCTGCGTCCAGGGACGCTGCGTCCATGCCGGCTGCGACCGCGTCATTGGGTCCAAGAAGAAGTTTGACAAATGCATGGTGTGTGGCGGAGACAACTCGAGATGCACAAAGATTTATCGCTCCTTCACCAAGCCCCAGTAAGTGATCTTCCTGCTTAAGTGGTTGAAAAGTGGGCATGCGATGGATATTCTTCACGCGATTGTCAGCGTTCACTCCACAGCTAAAATATAGGGTGACAGAGCCAGAAGATACTCCATTTGAAAGTATATGTGGGGTTTGTACCGATATAGCCTTAGGGTTATTTTTAGCAATACAGCCCTACTGTACTACTCACTGAAAGACCAAATGGAGTCCATGTTTCCCACACTTTTGACTCAAGCCATTTATTAAAGCGAGTTCCCACAAGAGGATTATTCAAGTTTTAAACCAAAAGATTGGGGCTTTGCAGCAGCCAAAAGAGACCCACGCCGAAACATCTGGACATTTCAAATGGAACACACTCTCGCTTTACAGGGACTACTGTGATTCCAAAACCCTTTTTTCTTTTTTTTCCCCCAAAAAGCTCTTACAAATAGCGAATCATGAGTCACCCTCTCCTGTTCCGCAAAGATCTTTGTCCAGCTAGCGAGCAAACCAAGCTGCCAAGTTAACCACTCCTTCGGCACGCTCCTTATTTTTATAACAGTTGATGCCACGTGTACAAGGAGCTTGTACACCCATAACCGCAGGCAAGCATTAGCTACTCTAGAATACCTGTGCCCTTTAAAGGGTTGATGGTCCCCCAAGATTTAAGATGAAGAGAACCCCAAAACGTGACTTCGGAAGCCAAAAGGGAGCCCACGATGGTTAACGCTGACTCTTTTTCAACACGATTTCAATTCTGTATATGGTGGGGGGCGTTCAGTTGTTGGCTCTGCGCTCAAAGTTCTTGAGGAGTGGGGTAGGCTATAACCATTGCAAAATAGAAAGTAAGTAAAAAGGGAGATTTGATGAGTTTATCCCTCACGATCAGCCTTTATCCCTCCATCCTGCTTTAACCCTGCTGGGTCTTGTCTTTCTAACCCACAGCTACGGGTACAACGATGTGGTCACCATCCCCGCGGGAGCCACCAGCATCTTGATTCGCCAGAGCAGCAACTTGGGGGCAGCCAGCGATGGCATCTACTTAGCCCTGCGCCGGCAGGACGGCTCCTACGCCCTCAACGGCAACTACATCCTGACCCCCTCCGAGCAGGACATCCACCTGCGGGACGGCGTCACCTTGCGCTACAGCGGGGCAACCAAAGCCATGGAGTTAATCACCGGCCACGGGCCCCTGAAGGAGCCGCTCACCTTGCAAGCCTTGGTGGTGACCGATCAGAAGGTGCCCCGCCTGAAGTACACCTTCTTTCTCCCCAAGCCCCCAAAGAGACTCTCCAACCAGTGGCTGAAGCAGAAAGCCCGGATCCTAGAAGTGCTGCAGAATCGAAGAGGACGCAAATAGAGCAGTTTCGCGGGAGGGCACTGGGCAGGGGTCTCAAAACAGTCTTGCCCCCTCCCCACCACGGGGGAAGCCAGAAGCTGAGGGGCAGAGGTCCCGCTGCCTGCTTTTTGCAAAGAGGACCATGTGGCAAAGGACCCGGGACTGAAACAACCCTTATAAGCAGCAGTGATATTGCCTGGCAGAGGCTGGCATTTGGGGCCCCTTCGTTTCTCAGCTCGCCGCAGACAATTTCCCAGACTGTTTAGCTCTGCTTGGAGGCAAATCTGGGATTGGGGGGGGGAGAGGCAAGGCACAGCAAAGCAGCAGCCAGGAGTCCCCCAGGTCAGAGAAGGAGCTAAACCTGGCGCTGAATTGAACTGATTCCCTCCTGGCAAGGGGGGGGGATGTGAAAAGCCGGAAGAGAAAAACCTTCAGAAGCCGAGGAGCCCAAAAAGAGGAAGAAAAGGCCTCCAGTACGTGGTATAGTAGAAGCATTCAGAAGCAAAGCGCGGAGAAGCAGAAAAAGCAGATGCTGAACCTGCAAGAGCCAGACCCGAGTCAACCCGAGCCCTGCCACGGGTTGATTTTTCATTGCGGCTGGACCCTCGGTGGTTCGTGCCCGGCCGCTCCTGTACTATATTTATTGTTGCTTTTATTTATTTGTCATTCTGGGGAAGCAGAGATGAGTTGGGGAAGGGGGGAGGCGATCTTTTAAAAAGACCAGCCGCACACACTTTGAGAATCAAGCGGGCAGCAGCACGGTGCCCTCGCCCTCACCTGACGTTTGGCTGTTCCAGCAAACTGCGCCTGGATCAACTGTGTCTACCTCATCCTTCGAGTGCTTCCTCCTTCGCTAACCTCTTCTCCCGCTTCCAAGTGCGTTACTCACACTCTCTGTTGCTGCTTGGCACCCCGCCACCCAAAGTGGCGGTGTGGCTAAACCTCTCCAGGTCTGGCCTGCAACTCACTTCTCCTTGGCACCGGAGCAACGGCGGGCCTGGGGTAAGGCAAGCCACCCCAAACAGGCGGGCTGACTGCCTCTCCCCTAAGGTGCCAGCCTTCCACCCCATCCCTTTGTAGGACAAGGGCGTCAATCACGCCGCTAATGCAGGCCCGCCATGCCCACAGGGGCTGGCTATGGGGAGACCCCTTCTGCCTTTGATCCAAGATTGGGTGGCCCCCGAATTGCAGGGGAGGGAGGCGACGGGAGCCCACGGGGGAGGAAGACCTGTATTGAGAGAGCAGCTTTGCATGCAAATGCCCTTATGCTCATGTTAAAATAGAGGAGGGGGGGCAATGCATGGAGCTGGGGGAGGACACTACCAGACTGTACTGAGTGGAGACTAGTGGTTAGAGCAGTGGGGGGACGAGGAGCCACCAACTGCCAGTGTTTAGCCAAGGGAGCTGGGAGTTTTGGCATCGACATCTCTGTCCCCCACCTGGGGAACTAAAGGAATTCTAAGGGGTCCGGTTGAGAGGCTACTAACAGGCGGCTGGGGTTGCTTGCACACACCGCTCCTAGCACTTGGACCGCTTTCTGTGTCCCTGAGTGTCACCTACTCGCCACCCCATCCCCCAGGCCTGAAGCACCAGCCTGAACCACCTTCGAGGACTGCCCGATGCTTTTAAGATCGAGAGAGATTTCTTCTCCCCACGGGGGGCAGGGGGGAGTAACAGAGCAGGAAAACTGAAAGAGGAAGGGGGCCAGACTTCCAACCACAGGTTTCCAACTCCCTCTTTTGCTAACCGCTCTTCAGCCTCGCTTGATCTTCTCACGGTGTCCCTTTCCCAGAAGGAATATCCCCAAAATTTCCCCCTGGAGGGGTGGATCTATTTAAAGCCTCTGTAGAACCAGAGGAGAACCCCTTCAATGCAACCCCACTTTACCCCACCGTTCCTCCGCCGGCCACAGGGATTGCCGACTGAAGTTAATTTAATTAAGTTATAATTTAACAGGCAGCAGCCGAAGTCTCTTGGACCCCGAGGCGAGTCCTCTGGGCCAGGAGGCAGGACTTGTGTATCCATTTTGTTTATAAGCACTATGTTAATATTATTATTGTCTATTAATGGTTTCGTTTTCTAAAAGCAATAAAACGGTGCCGGTTTTATTTATTTAACGCTATTTATAAACTCACTCCTGGTGCTGCATGGTTCTTTATAGGATTGAGACCCGGGTTATGGCAGGAAGGGGTGGAAATTAGCAGGAAACGTCCCTTGTTCGTTGTCCCAAAAATCGGATGGTTCAACTTCAAGGTCCACCTATGCTAAGTGCCAGCTGCGTGTTTGTTGACTTTGCCCTGAAAACTTAAAGAGATCTAGAATTGGGAAGGGACCTTAGATATATCTGGCAGATAACCGCCCGGCCTTGCCTGATTTTTTCCCCACCAGGAGTTCATCTCTTCCAAAGCCTGTCCAGAAGCAGTCAGTCAAAGAGATCTCCCTGTTACGAGTTTCTCTATAGCAGGGTTTCTCAACCTTGGCAGCTTGAAGATGTGTGGACTTCAACTCCCAGAATTCTCCAGCCAGTCCGTCAAAGAGATCTCCCTGTTACGAGTTTCTCTATAGCAGGGTTTCTCAACCTTGGCAGCTTGAAGATGTGTGGACTTCAACTCCCAGAATTCTCCAGCCAGTCCGTCAAAGAGATCTCCCTGTTACGAGTTTCTCTATAGCAGGGTTTCTCAACCTTGGCAGCTTGAAGATGTGTGGACTTCAACTCCCAGAATTCTCCAGCCAGTCCACATGTCTTCAAATTGCCAAGGTTGAGGAACACTGCTCTACATGCTTAGCTGAACATCAATGATTTCTACCCACCAGTCCCAACTCTTGAAAGCTGTAGAACAAGAAATTGAAAGGCAGGGGACCTCATGGCCACCCCTCTGACCGACAGCTAAGCGAGATTTCCTTCCTGCGGGGCGACATAATCCCAACTCCACTAGTTAGCAGCGAAGCAGAAACAGAGGAGATGTATAATAAAAACAGACATGAAAAGAAGAGGAAGACCCGTGGAACTCAACGTCACACGCTAACATTGGCAGGAGACTCACGACTTTTTCATCCGACTTATACCTCGTTTTGGAGTCCACGGGCGCAGCTTTAAAAGGGGGTTGGCAGATTTGTAGAGGAGAAAAGAAGTATTCCGAATTATTCTGTTTCAGAGGATCTTCCCAGGAATCCTCTGAGCCAAGGTCCTGCTCCAGAGAAAATTGTCTCGCTTGGACAATTTTCGGAAGGAGCTCTTTCGATAAGCTTTGTTTGGGGCCCGAAATGGTCATGAAGGATCAGGCTGGCTTGCAACCACGTGCGTGGGACGGAGCGCAGGGCCCGCTGAGCAGGAAGAGGGCAGCCCCTTTAAGTTTCCCAGAATCCATCCGCGAGACGCCACTGCAGCATTGTGGGAGACTCCAAACAGTGGCTAATGCCCGCTTGTCCAGCCCGGACTAAAGAAGGGGGGTGGGGAATCTGGGGAAGCAATAAACCCCAGCAGCTAATCCCACTCCCGCCTGCAGAGAACAGCTGTGGCCTCCATCAATGTCTTTTCCAGGCACTTCCGCACCGTCCCTGCCCAACAGCTGTTTTTGTTACATTAGGGGCTCAGCCTCCTCAAACTGCACAAACGAAATTCCAGACCCTGCTGGACAGGAGATCCTCAAAGGTCAAGGCTGCCCAACCTCGCTTCTCCATCTCTGCTAGGGTTCTGCTGCTGCCGTTCTTCCCTGGGATCTCTTGCTTTCCTTCGGCCTCCTCCAGCACCTTCTCTGACTCAACCCAGCCCTGGGCCCAGCTCCAGCTCCCTCAACTTTCCAAGGCTGTGGAGTGGCAGATGGAAGCCCACAAGGGAGGCTGCAATTTTCCATTTCGGAGAGGGAAGGGGTAGAAAAGCAGGAAGGGATTCCAGCGTCTTTAGCTTCACTGGTTAAGATTCTAGAAGGATCAGAAGGAGCTGAGCCACATACACTAAACCACCAGTTTCCACCAAGTGAGATCTGTGCTGGCCCAGTCATTTGTGCCAGGGAGGGCTGGCTACTCTGATGACCGTGCTACAAACCGGCATATATGAAAGAGCTTCTGGGGTCAATGGCCAGGACCTGATCTCTCTTCCCACCACCATAAACCACAAAATGGTCTTTCATATTCACAACAATGAGCAAAAAAGCCAAACCCAGAGATCCTCTATCTCTCTCTCTCTCTCTCTCTCTCTCACACACACACACACACACATCTCCTCTACAACCTTAGCAACTTGAAGATGTACGGACTTCAACTCCCTTCTTGAAGTCCTGAAGTGGACTTCAACTTCAAGTTGCTGAGGTTGAGAAACACTGCTCTATACTAGGTGGATTGCGCTTAACAAATGGGCAGGAATCAAAAGACAACAACTTTGTGCAGAACTGTGCACAAAATCTACCCTCTCGATGCTTGCTTTTGTTAAACCTTAATATCCATGGAAAAGAAGGGGCGCTTAAGGAAGAGGGGATCACTTGACACATGCTCTGACTGGGAATCAGATTTGAATGCCCAACCTGAGTTCACAGACCCTGCAAACAATAATTAGGTCCTGGTTTCTATCTTTCCCCTCTTCCTTTGTTTCAGTCGCTAATTTAGAGAGAGGCCCCGAGTTTTGGCTGGGGTCTGGTCAAACAACCAGGCATCTGAAACCCAGATCTCCTGCATACAATCCAAGACGCTTCGAATTTATTCTACTCGCCCCGTGCTACCGGACACAGAAGTGACATTCACACAGGCTACCGATTCATGCCACCCGTAGTAAGGCAAGGCAACAATTGCGTGCTATTCCACCTTTGCAAGGCAAACGAAGGAGTCAACCCCAGGAGAGGGCATCTAACATCCTAGGGTAGCTAGCTAGCTAAATAAATAAATCCTAGGGTAGCTAGCTAGCTAGCTAAATAAATAAATAAATAAATAAATAAAAAGTTCTTATCCTTGAAGATTGCAGAGTGAGAACTGGGAGTGATCTGATGAAACATTCCCACGTTATCTAACTTCAGAAATCAGAGCGTTCCTGCTCCCTCCCAGTGCCTCGCTGAAAATTACAGCAGGCATGTTTATGGGAAACGGCCTGGTTCTGTAATGAATAACTGATTCTAGCTTTCCCTGATCCTCCCTTGCCACACAGAGATACAGAGATACAGACACGAAGACAGATGTGTGTTGGTATGTATATATTTTCCACCCCCACTCCACCCATAGTAGACAGAGCCTTGAGAAAATCACCTGGACTTTCGCAAGAGCGGAAGGTCCTGAATGAACAATGCAACATGGATGTGCACTGATCTGCAGCTCATTTTCAACAAGAGACCACCTAAGGGACTCGGTACAGTTTTGACAGAAGGATGGGGAGGGTGGGAAGGACTAGCTAGCTAGATATACTGATTTCTTCTCCGTTTTTTTTTTAAGCATCGGAGTACATAGTTGTATCATATGATGTACCAGACCTGGTTCCTGAATTAATTCATTTTCTGGGTTTTATGATACCCTGAATGACATGCTAAGGCACAACTCCCCTCTTGAAATCCTAGCCACCTAGCATGGTCTACAAATGCAGCACTTAAATCTAATGGATGTCTCTGCAAAGCTCAGACATGCTTTAAAAACATACCAATCGGATCACCCAACTAAAACAAAACAAAAAAAATCTCCCTTCAGAATTTTCCTCCCCAAAGTCTTTTCCTTCTGAGCTCTCCCTGCCTTTTTTAAATCCCCAAACGGGATGGTTTGTTCTCTGGAGTGGCAATTCGACGTCAACTCTATAAACGTGATGTATAAATAAAATAAATAAAATAAGCTCAAGTTTCACAGTACCCTCTTGGTTGCATCCGGAACGGCTGTCGGGGTGGGAGGTTTGTGAAAACGAAAACGAAAAGCGTTGCCTTCAAATGTGCAAACTTCACACGTTTTACCCCTCTTGGGTAAGCATCTGACATAAACATATCCTAAGAAACAGCAAAACACTGAAAGGAAACATCATTTTGACACGCAGCGTTAGTTTGCAAGCAGGAGCATTGTCTAAAGGACATGAAGGTTATGGATTGCTATCCACCCTGTCATCCTTGCGTTGGCAGGCTGTTGAAACCATGGCTTGATGGCATAAAATTGCCCCAATTCCATGCCACGTGCTTCCTGTTTTCCGTTCCTTTTGCAAAAAAGTTCAACGTTCAAAACGCATTGCCCAAGTCTGAATGAAACCGCTGGCTTTTTAAAAAAAATACCCAAATAAGGGGATGGGGGAAAAGGTCTTCTGCAAGTACAAATCAAAACCGAGGGCATTGGATGCCCGCCTGATGCGGTTTACCAAGTAAGGGGATGGAGATGAAAGAAAGGAGTCATCGAGGGAAGAAAAAGAGTGTTAAAATGACATGAAGGATTTCCTTCCAAATACATATCAAGGTTGATCTACTTTTTCCTGAATCCCGAGAAATCTCTTCTCCTTTTCTTTTGGAAACGAAGACTACTATTGGACTAAAGGCATGATCATGTCTATTTAAAGTCTTTGGATCCACCACAGAGCTGTTCCAGGCACACGGGGGTGGAGGCACATCCCCGACTGAGAAAAGCTGCTTTCAGGTCAGGGGCAAAAGGAAATATGAGAGAGGATAAAGCCCCCATTAGCAGCCTTGCTCCCTGCCCGTATGAGATGCTGTTGATGAAATGTCAAAATCTGCTGCTCCGTTCGCCAGGAGACACAGCACACGCCCACCCCAATTAAAAGCTTTCAGTTAACTGAACTTCACAATTCACTGAAGGGCAGATCCACCAAGCCCGGAGCAGAACTGGGGTCAGGATACTGGTGACACTGTCTGGTTAAAGCCTCCAGAAACTCAGGCTGGGCTCCCCTGCTTTCCGAGGTGCAGGAAGAACTGGGACTTTTTGCAGGCGTGGCCTTTTCATCTTCAGTCGATCCCTGAGACCCCAGCTCTCCTTCACCGGCAACCATTTTGATAGACTGGACCCCAGCTTCAATCAGCCCCAGGGAGCCGAATAAAGGAAGGCCAATCTGGGGACAGCAGTTCCCCGATTTGAGCCAAGCCACGGAGCATAAGATGGTGGGGGTTTCACTCCTGGGACATTTGGTTTCAAAAACATCCGCTGATGGGCTGTTATCTATTTAAGTTTTTTTTCTTAACTGCAACTGAGGCAGATTCAATAAATAAAGTTAATAAATAAGTCTATCTATACGTATACGGGGGCCCATGTATGGCTTTGGAGGAAGCAGGAGACAAAATTTGGGATGGGGAAGCATCTTCCCTCCTTGCCCTATGTTTTGAATAAGAGGGAGGAGGTCAAGGGGGACAGTCTCCCCCCCGCACGGAAAAATCAGGACAGTGACTGTGCTTAATTGCTCATCAGATGCTCCATTCTTGAAACAGGGAGCCGAACGGGCTGGTAAAATGACATGGTCCCTTTTAACTAGGTCTCTCCTGTGAGATGGGTGATCACCCACCGTCTGAAAAGAGTCAGGAGGGGGCCCTCGAAAGCAAAAATGGATCACACTCACGGCCAAGCGGAAGGCATGCTGTGCTGGAAAGGTGCTGACCCCTGTTCTTCGGGACCGACCACGCTGTTCTGGGAACAAGGGAGACAGAGTTCTACCTTCCGCACATTCTAGAACGGGAGATCAATGCTTCCTGACTGAAAGACTGAACTGGGGTGGGGTGGGGTGGCAAGCAGAAAGGGAAATAATCTTGCCTTCCCCACCCACTGATCTCCCGTTGGGGGGCCCCAGCCTAGTGGGTCAAGGTCACTGTTGAGCAATCGGGTGATCTGCCAGGGATACAGGCGGTCACTGCTTCCCCCTTGGAATTTCTCGTTCTCGGAGGTTGGGGGAAATCTGACCTGGTGGAATGGCTCACGAGGTTGCAGGGTTTAGCTCAGAAGAAGCAGGAGCTCGCTCTCACTGTTTCGCAGGCCCAAGTCTTGTCAAAGCAGTTTCTAAAGAAGATCTCGAGGCAGGGCTGCCTGTGAGCGTGGCCACTGTTTGGAGAAATGCACCCGCGGGCCAGGAGTTCAAAAGAAGAGGTAAGAATGTGCCGGTGACCACCGAGATTCGAACTCTTCCAAGCCAGCAACGCCCCTTCAGCATTTGACGGGCCCATTCCAGCTCGGGCCACCTCGTCCGGTCTTCTTTTGCTTGGGAAGCTGAAGCAAACAAAGGTGGGTGAGGCCTTTGCCCTCACCAAGAGAGAAAGAGCGGTGAGCGCAGAGGCAGAGGGACAGGCAAGAGGAGGGTCACACGTCGTAGTTGGGCAGGTAGCTGTAAGACGGCCCGCTGGCAGACGGAGAATTGCAGTTGCATGGGAAAAACCAGCAGATCACAAAACCTGCACGGAAAAGGGTGGAGGAGAGATTCTGTTGGGGGGAGCGAGGACATGGAAGGGACCTCCCCCCCACACCCTCAGACAGACCACGGGCGCACCTCGGCCAAACACCTCGCGCAGGAGGGCGATCTTGGGTTTCCGCGTATGGGTCCCTCCCCGGTGGCCCTCTTTCAGAAGCCGGTTGCGTAGCTGTTCGATCGGGGTCTCGTCCGTGATGATGGAGACCACCTGGGAAACACGCAGAGCAGGGAGAGGAAGGGGTGAGAGGGTTTTGGATGTTCTTGGGTGATGACTTTCTCCGACCCCCCTGGGCCTGCTAGGAGAGGGGCTAGCAGCATCTGAAGGGGCTCTCAATTTCCCCTCACCTGGTCATAAAATATAACCGTGACAAACAGCCCGAAGAGGATGGATTCCACCAGCAAGATGATCCGGTGAGCACTAGGGGGGAAGAAGGAGAGAAGGCGGTGATGGGTTTGGGAATTAAGGATACAAGCAATCCATCGTCTGACGTCAGCTGCTGCAGAAGACCCTGGGTTTTTAAGGGAGGGTTGGCTTGCTCCTCACGCACAACTTCGGGGCAGGCGGTGTAGACCGCGGTCCTCATAGTTTACTTCCCAGATCCCGCAGGGAGACTGCAGGCCAGAACTGCTGCTGGAGATTCTTGGATGCAGAAACCCATCCTTCCTCTGGAGGGAACCAAAGCGAGGGGTCAAACTAGAAGTGGTGGACAACTGAGTCTGTCCTGCAACCCATCTGTGGTCCCTGCAGCGAGGTCAAGAGCAGCCTTCTCCAACCTGGCACCCCCCTCACCCCCGATAGGTTACAACTGCTGTTCCCAGAACTCCGAGCCAACGGGCTGGGTAGAAATTCTGGGAATTGCCATTCCCAAGACACGGTGAGGGCATCTAATTAGAGAAGGCTGTCTAACAACTCAGCAACTTCCATCTGCACCTTGAACTCAGAAGCTGGTGTTCCTCCTAAGTAGGGGAGGAAGAGTTTTTCTCATTACCAAATTTTAAAAAGGTTTTAATGATGTTTTCTAAAGAGGGAGTGTGGCTCTGCATTCATTTGCTGAGAACTGTGTTTCTCAACCTTGGCAACCCCTTCAATCTTGTTGTGTCACATTTCCCCAATTTTACCCCCCACCCACATTTGGGTCAGGGGTCTTGTGCATGGCAGACATCTTA